TCTCGGTTCTCATCTGAGAACCGGGCGCTCCGTGGCCGGAGGGGTGAGGTCTTAATCCCCTCTGCCCCGCTGCAGAAGCCGAGCTTTTGCCCAGCTCCGGTGCTTACCGGGTGCCTGCTGATCCCGAGATGCTCTCTAAACCAGCAGGAACACAGGCCAACAAAACCAGGGGATATTTTCCTGCTGCGTCAGCCAGTTAAACCGGCTCAGAGAAAAGATCCAACACAGGCAAGGGCCGGTGCAGAAAGCTTTTCCCACCATGTGGCACTTATTTCCACTTAAAGCGCTCCCAGGTCTTAAGCTCAGCATCCTTCTGGACCAAGAGGGACACAAGGAGCAGCTCTGGAGCTGACCGCAGTGCAATCCCCTCCCTGGAGTGTTTGGTTTTGGCTGCCTGAATCTCCAGAGACGTGGGGTCTTTTTTTCCCCCCCTTAGGGACACATCCAGGCTCATCTGCAAGCCCTGAAGGAAGACAGAGACAAACTCCTGGGGTTCCGAGAGGCTGAAATGAGGAGAAGCTGGGAATATCTGGTAAATGTTGGGTTTTTTTTTTATGAGGAGGGGTGGGGGTCTGGATGTCTCTCTTTGGGTTTAGACGAGATGCTGTGTGGGAGATGGTCCTGCTCTGCCTTGGGGCTGGGGTCCCTTTCCAGGCGGCGAACCAAACGCTGCCCAACGTTGCTGCATCGTAGGAAAAAAATAACGGGCAGAGCCTGGAGCACCGCGGGGGCTCAACCGCTGAATGCAAAGCGAAACATTTATATAGAAAAAGGGTATTGGATGCTCGAGACGCCGACTCTTTGGAAGCGTGCGGTCGCTGGCACGTGTGGGACTTCGTTGCCTCCTTCTCCACCCTCCTCTTCCCTTCTTGCGTCCCCTCCTCGCAGGAGAAGACCGAAGCCGAGCGGCAGAGGGTTTTCTCCAAGTTCGAAGGGTTGCGGCTCTTCCTGGAGGACCATGCCCGTCATCTGCTGGCTCAGCTGGGGGACCTGGAGAGGGACATAGAGAAAATGCAGGAAGAAAACATCACTAGCCTGACAAAGGAGATATCCCGTCTGGATACCTTGATCCAGGAGATGGAGGAGAAGTGTCAGCAACCAGCAAGAACATTCCTGCAGGTGAGGGAGAAGGGAATGGAGCCAGGTCGTCCCCACCTGAGTCCAGGCTATCTTCTGGCTCTGGGGGTTGCCCCATGACGGAGCCAAACCCGGGCTGTGCTCTGCTCCAAAGCCACGGCCGTGCTGTTGAGGTTTCAGTAGATGTTCTGCTGCCAAGACCCGTTCGCTGAGTCTCCTCTTCCCTCTCTTTCTTCCAGGACATCAGAGGCACCTTGAGCAGGTATGGGGCTTCTGGAGCTTCTCCTTCCATCCCGGGCTGGGGAGGGAGTTGGACCTTGTGTTAGGACAGGTACAGGAAAGCCTTTATAAAACCTCACCCCGCAGCCACGTATTTGGCTCTGGGGACTCCGAGGCTCTGAGCAAAGGCGTCTCTGCCCGTTGTCGAACGCGCAGCAGGCTTGTTGAAGCCTCCACCAGCTCCCCTGCGCTGGGATGTGCCCAAAAGATTTCCTAGCCTCTCTCTGAGAAGATGTATCCTCACCTCTTCTTTTCGTCCTTCTTTTTCGAGGTTTGAAAAGGAAAACTTCCAGCAGCCCCCGGTGCTTCTTCCAGAGCTGGAGAAGAAAATCGGTCACTTCAGGGAGAAAAGTGTTGCTCTAGAGGAGACTCTGAGGAGCTTCCAAGGTATTGAGCTGGGGTGGGGAGGTGGAGCAATACCTGTGTGAGCATAAACTACATTTAGTCGGAGCACAAATTATGGTTTTTTGGTGATTATATAGGTGACTTCAGTGTGGCAGAGCCACCGCGCTGTTTCCATGCCCACGCTGATACCTGCATCAACTAACGTCTCTCTTCTCCCCTCTTTAGACGTCCTGATGTTTGAGCTGCCTGAGAAAAGTAAGTCCACATCTCCTGGAGGTGAGGGAGGGGGACTGGCTAAAGGGAGGCTGAGCCAGTCATGGACATCGTCTGGGGAAGACGCCGTCATGTCTGAACAAAACGGGGGAGGGGAGGGGGGCCAAAAGCACCACAAGGAGTCGGGGAACCCTCACCGTAATGGGGCTGATGGATTCATTTCTTCCGGCTGGCCCAGCCCCTCACATCGCTGTCTTCAGGCAACAAATGCCTCGTTTGGCTTTTTTGGCACCAAAAATAAATAAGGGGAGGGGGGGTGTGGTGTCTCCTGCTCGTCTGCCTCAGGACTTGCCCTCCTGCTCCCTTGGGATGCTGCTTCTGGTGCTCACCTTGGCCCCGTGAGATGGGGAAGCAGCCGAGGTCTGCCCCTGAAGCAAGGGTAGATCGTTCCAAGGGGTGGAGGATTCTGCAGGACCCCCCTGCTCAGCCCCAGCAGCGGCGCCTGGAGCCGCGGGAAACGGTTGGGCTCCCTGTGACGCTCCGCTCTCCACCCCTCGCAGTGAAGGTGACCCTGGATCCGTCCACAGCTCACCCCCAGCTCGTCGTGTCGGCGGACAGGAGGAGCGTGAGGTGGGAAGAAGCCCAGCGGGACCCACCGGCGGAGGGGTTTGGCACCGACCCCTGCGTGCTGGGCTGCGAGGGCGTCACCTCGGGGAGGTGCTGCTGGGAGGTGGAGGTGACACCCCAAGGCTCCTGGGCTGTGGGGGTGGCCAGGGAGTCCCTGAAGAGGAGGGAAGAGACCGCCGTGGGGCCTGAGATGGAGCTCTGGTCTATGGGTCTCTGTGAGGGTCAGTTTTGGGCTCTCACCTCCCTCGAGCGTATCCCACTATACCAGATCCAGGTCCCCAGAAGGATCCAGGTCTCCCTGGACTATGAGAAGGGTCAGGTGGCGTTTTTTGATGCTGATAAGAGAGCCCTGATCTTCACTTTCCCAGCAGCTTCATTTAAAGGGGAGAGTATTCATCCCTGGTTCCTGGTGTGGAGCGAGGGGTCCCAGATCACACTCTGCCCCTGAAGCTCTCATTTTGGTGTTGTTTTGTGTTTTTTTTACCCAAACACAGGTTTTATGTCCCCAACACCCCTATTTCCAGCACTTTTGAAGGACTTCTGCCTACTAAATTCCTCGTTAGCCTTTCTGACCCCTCTTCCCATCCTCAGTGATCCCAAAGGGTTGAGCATCTCTGTGGGTCAGTGTCCCAAATGGTCATCCCCAAACTGGGGGGCGGGGGGGGGGCCATGAGAGGGCCATGAGTGGCTGACAAATGGAGCCATGTCTACCCCACAGCGTCTTGCACCAGCCTGGCTGCTTCTCCGGTCGGAGGGTTTTAGATGAAGTAAAAAGCTTTACCCGCTGCAAAGTTCTTCTCCGTCTAATTATTTGCTGCTTCTGGATGTTGGGTTCAAGGTGGGGGGGCAGGGGGTGTTGCAGGGGCTGGAGTTCTGGTTCACTAAATCCTATTCCTGGCGTTTGAACACGAAAGGTTGACTGTGCCTGTACCCAGGAAGGACCACAACCCCCACCGAGGTGACCTGGGGACACCCCTGGAAGCCGTGGGCCGTGCTGCCCTCCTGTCTGCTGGCGGTTGTAACCGCAGGGAAAGAACAGAGAGGAGAGAAATCGTGTAAATTTTTTATTATTAATGATATACGTCGTCGTGGTTTCAAACATCAGTTGTTGGAGGAGGAGGAAGGAAGCGGCGGAGGCTCAGGAGCAGCTTTGCCGCGCGTGAGCTTTCCAGCAGCAGAGGTGCCGTGTTGGTGAGGCCCCACCTTGCAGCCTTGGGGTCAGCCCCGCCTGACGTCAGAAACCCGCGGAGCAGATGTCTCTGTCGGAACCGGCCACCGCGGGACCCTTTGTAAGGGGAAAAACTCTCTGGTTTAGGGCAATTGCACCCGTTGGGGGGAGGAAAAAAAAGAAGGTAAAGCTTGGACCCCTTGGTTTGGAGGTAGCCCCTTCAGATGGGGGGCATCGCTACTTAATCAGGCAAACCTTTCTGCTGTCACTCTGCATTTTTCCCACTCTTAAAAACTCTTTCCCGTTCCTCTGCCCCAGGGTCCCCTCTCCACAGCTTTTTCTGCTCTCTTTGCCTCATTTTTCTCAGGCTTTTCTCTTTTTTTCTTCCCTGCGCATCATTCCCCCAGTTTCATGCAGAACGAGACACATAAGCCAAAGCTCCCGTTTCTTCTGTTCCCCGTGACCCCCCCGGGGTAGCACAAGGGTTGTCCCCTGAGGCTGTAGGAAAGGAGGGGGATGCTGCTCTCCACGGCTTAGGGACACAGCCGGAGCTGGGACCTGGCCCCCACCACCCAGAGCCACGGGCGGACCCTCTCCCCGGTGAACGAGGCGCGTGAGAAAACGAACATGAGCCCCCCCTCGTCCGCGTCGAAAAAGGCCACTGTCCCTCCGGCGTAGTCCAGGTGGACGCTGACCCGCCGGGGCACCCAACGCAGGGGTAGGAGGGTCACCTTGCGGGTGGTGAGCGCCCGGACTTGCCCCCCCCACTTTTCCACCCCCCAGATCCCTCCTTGGGGGCAGAGGCTGAGGTGCCCCTTCCGACGGATGGACTCACGGGCCACCCCCACGGCCCAGTCCCCTCCGTCCCCCACCTCCACCTCCCAGCAGTGCCGACCGGCCAGGAAACCCTGGCAACCCAGCACGAAGGGCCAGTAGTCGAATCTCTCCGGGTTATCGGGCAGGTCCCGCCGTCCTTCCCCGCGCCTCACGCTCTTG